CAATCCGGATTATGTATGGCTCGGTCCTGAGTCCGTCTGGGGTTGCATGAGCACAGGAACCAAGATTTTCCAAGCGCTCGATGTCGCCGATCATATGGGTATCTCGCAAGTTGGTGGCCACGCGCACTGTAATTTCCCTTCGAACCAGCAAGCCGATTTGGATGCATTCGTCAATAAGTTCTTGAAGGGCCAAAACACAAACACCAACATCCTGCGAAACGATGGGAACGGTTACGGCTTTGTAGAGTCCGACTGGGTTGATTGGAGTGTGCCAAAACTTACATAGATGACAGGGAAATACGCACAACTGTTCAAGACAAGGTTTTCCAATATTAAATGATGGTCTCTCATGCTGAAATTGAAGTCATATTGAGCCAATATTTAGTGGACATCGTTCTATCCTTCCCCCCATTCCCTTCGTCTTTTCTCTCTCGGGATCATGAATTGAGATGGGTACTTGAATTTCATTAAATTTCGTACATCTACTAACTACAACTACGGGGGTCATAAGGGAAAGCTCATGAAAAGAATTAGGCATATGCGAATGAAAAGGGCACCAAGAATATAGAGAATTGGAACTCATGAAAATCTGTTTACGTCGCTGATCGCTAGTGTGCACTAGCAATCTAAGACGCCTTTGTGGCATTCATAGTACCAGTCGACAACTCGTTAAGCTCGTCTTCACGGGCATCCAAGTCCCTGACAGAGAACCAGAACAGGACACCAGCAATTGCGGCAATAACACCCATGGTGCCGTAGTTCCAGACGAGAAGTGGGTCAGCGGAGAGCGCTAAATAATAAACAGGGGTATGAGTAATCTAGCATGCAAAAATAAGCCGATAGTACGCACAAACGAAGGCTTCACCGAGGGCAGATGCGATAGCGGACATGAACAAGAAAATGGACATGACAAGGGATCGCATGTTTTTGGGTGCCTTGGTGAAGGCGTACTCAAGACCTGTGATAGAGGCCAAGATTTCACTGATGGCGATGAGGATGTATCTGGTATTCGGAAAACAAAATTAGGGCGTGTGTGTATATATACTTGAGTAAGGCGGACTTACGATCCAGATTGGATCCACACGTTGAGTGGGGATACCTCTTCGCAAGTGGACGCGGACTCGTGGCAGGGGTTGGTCTTGTAGACGTAGTGCTGGACAACTACGGACAAGTTAGAAATTTGAGGGTAAAATAAAGAGGGATATCAAAGACGAACCAGCAGCCCAAATCATAGCAGCGGCACCAGTCATGAAGCCCAAAGTGATCTTCTTGAGAGCGCTAAAGTTCAATCCCATACGGCGTAATGCGGGGTAGATCTATATGACAAAAGCGATGAGAATCAAATTGGCATATTCAAGGTACGCGGTTTCGGGGACAAATGGGTTTCAAGAAGGGCGACTTACGAAGACATCGCAAATGGGGATAAGAATAATGAGCGCGAAGGGGTCCAAGTTAGAGAGAACGTCATTAGGCAAACCATGCGTGGACATGGTCGCAGCCTGAGAAGTTAAGTTGTTGTTGAGCTGGTTATAAGTGAGCCCTATGAAAACGAGTATTATGAGTAACATTCAACAAGACCTGATCAGGGAAAAATCGTACAGTAAAGAGGGAACCAGCAGAAGACTCCACAAGCTTTGATACCGCGCTGGACCTCATCAACCCAGTTGTCGTCAAAGGTCATCCAGGCGGGCCTGTCCTCACCCCTGACATTGCTAGGCTTAGCAGCATCCCAGAATCCAGGCTTGTTCATGTTCCTCCAAGTCGTGACAGGGTTCCAGGACCATTTGTCACGAGCGCAGAAGCGCCAGATGCGAATAGCAGTAGCAAGAACAGATCCAGTGGGAGGAGAGCGGATGTAGCGGTTTCGGCCGATGAAAAGAACGATGGGGCAGAGGAGGAAGACGACGGTGGGCAGGGTGTATGCCAAGTAGAAGCCAACGAACTAGATGAAGAAAAAAGCGAAAATAGTTGATAAATATCTAGGGTTTGTTCTAAAGTTAGTTATCTTGGGCTTACCTTCTCAGAGTAGGTCATCGTGATTTGTCCAATCAAAGCGCCGATGTTGATGAACAAGTAGAAGTACTGATTGTGACATGATAAGCACAAGTTCTAGGAAGGCAAAGGAAACACGCACCATGTAGACCCTGGACACAGTGAGGGTTGGGTCAACGATAACACGCTCGCCCTTCGGGGTGGTGATCACAAAGAGCTTTGTCCTTCTGTACTGTTCGGCGACGAGGGGAGAGATGTTGGATTTGAATAAGCCAGTACCAAAGCCCATGACGATAAGCGCCACGACGAAGGCGCCAATCGCTCCATGTCCGTCAATAACCCCAGGAACAGCAGAAATAATCAAGATGACGTGGCCAAGCAACGCGACGAAGACAGCGACGCAGATCGTCTTGTAACGACCCCAGTATGTGTCAGCGATGTAGGCACCAATGAGCGGGGTCACGTAGGACCTAGGTAAATGAATCTGTCAGTCACCATGGTACTATTTGAAGTGCAAAGCTAAAGATAGCGCACCAAAATTGGAAGAATGTCGTTAAACCTGTCGATGCACGCTGGCCCATTCCGAGTGCACCGGACTGGCCATTTAGGCCTCCAGCTCCAGTATGAGACCCAGCAGGAAGTTTCTGCTGGATGAAGTTGGTCTACATGGGAAGGGCGAGCGTTGAGAATGAGAAATAAAGAATATAGTGCCTAGAGATACTCACGAAGACAACAGTGGAGCCGTAGAACTAGCGAGTTTTCGGGTGAGTAATTGAATAAGCATCATGCGGAGTAGCGTACGTACCGAGAAGCGTTCAGCAAGCTCAACAAGAGCAATGACTGTGAGAAACAAATTGAATTAGTATTGAAATTCTAGACTGATAGTGAAGAAACGTCAAAACTTACGATAAGCATTCCATGGGATGGTGTCAGGAATACGGCGAAGGGTTACCTTCTCCTCTTCAGTGGGGAACGTGAGGCCGTCATGAATACCGTCCAGCTCATGGTCAAGGTCTGACTGCCTATCGCTGGAGGCAGAATCAGACTTGATTTCTTTTTCAACTCCGGCCATTTCTTCTGGAAGCGAAAAAAAGGGGCAGGCGAAGAAGAGGATGGGGGAACGAGGTGGTTCGTCAGGAGAACCCTTGATTGGAGACAAGTAGGGTTTTATAGCCCCTTCGCCCTTCCGAATCCCTATGTGTCACGACAGCGATGGAGATATGGACCACATGCCTAGAAGGAGCACCTATTTTTAGACTAGGATTAGCGCAAGCTCCTTGCTGCATTGTGATTCTTCAATATCAAAGCTGTCAAACAGACCATTCAATACAATAGCGATAGCTTATTACCTCTGGATAAAATACGGTGATTAGTACCATCACTTTCATATAAATGCAACAACACCTACACTGGAAGTAGACGCCTGGAGGATTCTGGACCTCAAAATGTCGATATCTGTCGATATCAGCCAAGATAGCGCGAACGAAATCTGTGATTTATTTATAGCGCAACCATCGTGCAATGGATCATTCGGTTGACAGGTCCATATGCTGGTTGTTCTCAGGAATTATGCGAGAGACCGTAATGGTTACATACATGAAACCATAAATAATTCAGGGTGACCCAGAGCCGACAATTTGGTGATTAGGCGGGCGTTTTTTTGACTGTGGGTGAGATTCAGTGCCCAAGTAGAGGTCCGTGTGCCAAGAGAATCGCACCTAAAATACCTCCCAAAGTTTGAAGTCGTGGCTTCCAATGTGCTGGATCTGTGAGAACGAAGGGGAACCCAGAAGGGTTCTAGAGGATAGCAAAAATAAAGATGGCAATAGTCGAGCGCCCAGAGAACTTCTCTAGGCTTCTCTCCATGTTCAGTACCTGAACCTGGAAGTGAGTTTTATCTCTCAGGAAACGGTCCTAGGTAACCGAGACAAATTGCAACACCTGACCCATGCCTCCAATCATTCCCACCTGTATAGCACGTCAGGCGGGGCATTGAAGTGAATTAAAAGCCAGGTCACCGTTATGGTGGGTCGACTAAACGAGTCGCGTGCAGTCCAAGGAAATATCATCCTGATTAATCATCCAAATAGCAGACAAAAATATTACATTGTCTCGTATTGTTTCTTGTCTTGGATCACCAAAACCTACAGCGAGCTTATCTTCACGGTAGCTCGCAAATAGGCTTTAGAAATGGGGCTGCCTATCTAGTCTTCGGCTGGCCGTATACATCGGTAACGGTAGGCGACGTCGGGACCACGGTAGTGTCAACCAACTCTCGGGCCCGACAATTTTTGCCTATCGCAGAAGGAAATTGGCAATAACAGCAGTTAGAAACAAGGTACAAGGCGAACTGTGATGAAAGTACCTTTGAAGGTGAATCTCACTCCAACGCGACGAAAACACGTAGCAGTCTTCAACTTCCTCCATCACCCTTCAACTTCTCCAGTTCCTCCAGCAGTGCCGTCAAAAATGCCTCTCCAAATATTACACCAAGGCCATATAGCACGTATCCCATTGCCACTGAGAAAAAGTGGATGTAGAAGCCCAGCATCGCGATACCCGTGAAGATATACCAGATCCATTGCGCTGTTGGTATGGCCAGTTTGAAAACGATATACAGAGAAGCTATTGCGCCAAATACATGGCGTGTCCGTCTATGCAGATAGCTTGCCGCAAGTATAGGAAGCAGAATAAGCGCCTGAACCTTGAATGAGTACCCAGAGATGAAGGGGAGGGCAAACCAGGCGAACATGGTTATTGATTTTGGTTGAGAGGTCGCGTGTGGTTGTGGTTCAGTTGTGATTAAGAATTGCCTATTTTAGAAAGACCCCAAGGACCTCTCCTCCCATGATGCTCGCTGCTCTTCCTTCATCACACGATTAAAGGGAATCTACGATTGTATAAAATAGTAATGACTGTAACATGACGAGACTATGGTCCGTATCTTTAACTCTCTAAACTATTGTGCACCGGTGTACGGGCGAAAGGGTAGTAAAAACAAAAGGTAATGGGGTCACCGTGGATTGAACACGGGGCCTTCAGAAGGCGGAATTGAAACGCTGCTTCAAGAAATGGAATTCTTCAGTCTACTGCTCTCCCAGCTGAGCTATGACCCCATGTATTTGTAAGCTTGGAGCGTTGCGGAAGCTGCAGAGCCGTATTGTTGAGCAGTGTTTCTGGAATATGAAGAAGTCGAAGACGAAATGAGCGGTGGTCGGTGGTATTTGAGGGCTGTCGAGGATAGGTGTCAAGAAACAACAAAAGGAAGTCGAAATAAGTAGAAGAATAGCGTATATGAAATGCAAGTGTATGACTATCATATGTATATAAATGGAGTGAGTTCTGTCTAAGTATGTAGTATAATGCGAATGTCGAAGAGATCCATGAAATAAATTAATAGATTTGTTGAGAATGAAAATTGAAATGTCGATGCATAAATGAAATACAAAAGAAAGGAGAACCGAGTAAAACAAGAGGAGCATAACAACAAGGAGACCGAGGGAACGAGGGTGAGGAGAGGGAAGTGCAGAACAGAAATGTGCAACATTCCAAAATCCACCGTCCTTGATGAACAAAAGGACTACATGCAATATATATAGATACCGGAAGAGAAGAGAATCACCAACCAGTATCTGAGAGAATGCAAAGTGGAAAACATAACAAAAAACAAAAAAAGATGAACGCAGAGAAACCATATGACAGAAGGGGGAATACAAGGCCTGCAAACCTCTGAATGCCGTTATGTGAGGGTTACGCCCTCCCAAGTCCTCCGCAATCACCCGAGATGCACAGGAGACATCAGAGTCGCAAGCCTAACCTCCTCTCTATCTTCGCTTCCTTCCCCGGAAGCACGCACGTCCCCGCCTCTTAAGAGATTATTGAGATAACGACGCATGCTCACAATCGAGTCACCGAAAGCGACCGACGCAAACGCCGCTGCAGATGTGCCTGATAACGATGAAAATGTCAGCGCACACTCCCTCGTCTGCAAGCCATCGACAATAGAGTTCCAACACGGATGACGTTTTAGTACAACCGTGTCGTAGAACCATGTGCCGCCGCTAGTATGTCGCGGGTCAGGAATCCAAAGGTTCCCTGAAAGTCTGAACCATGACATGCTGTTGGAATCTATTATTCGTCGAGAAGTAAGCAATCAGTCAAGGAGGTATTAAAAATGGCATAAAAACACCGATGTAATGATGGATTCAATAGATGAGGACAACAATGAAAATAAAGTAAAAGACAAAACACTCACGCGGAAGAGTGATCTCAACGAGCGAAGGACATGCTTCACCCCAGTCTGTTACAGTGGTGAAGTCCTGATCCATTTGACAGGATATGTTTCCCATTTCCCAGTAATCGATGCAGTTGACTCTCAACCGCTGTAGCTGGACAAAACGGGGTAAAAGAGACCGTACTCTTTCAATATAGGTCTAAAAATAGAAATGAGGTAAGTTTAATCTGTTTTTAGATATTTACAAATGTAAGGTGCAGACCTCGGTGGGTAGTGAATCTACCATGAGCACATTGGAGATGTGCAATGACAAAAGACGGGGCAGACTGGTGGAGATGATCTCGATGAGGTCTAGATTCCATCCCCGTCGTCTGACGCTGAGCAACCCTAGCGTTTCCCGACTTGAACGCTCCAGCATGGATATGGCGACCTCGGGGGCTGTATCCACAACATCCCAACTGACAATAGCAGCTCGGAGGGTGCTGTTGGTTCCCAAAAACGGAACACTCTGCCCATTTCCTGCAAAGTATTGCAAATTGGGTAATCGCACAGTCGGCAGCTGCAGCTGATCCTCCGGAGACGCTGCGGTGTTTTCATGTGGCGAAACCTGGAGATATGTGATTCTAGGATGTCGGTTTAGGAAGTGAATTAGGTCGTCGGAGAGGGTAAGGTAGCATTCGAAATGGCGGAGGGAGGGATATGAACAGTGATTAAGGAAAGTGATGTATTGTGGATCATGAACGAGGAGCCGGATGGTAGTGACTTCGGATAATGAAGCCAAAGCCTTTCGAATGAGGGTGTAGTATGATGCGAGGGGAGCCTTCGCTGAATATAAACTAGGAAGGAGGCTCGAATCATTCCTCCTGTCAAAGCTTGATTGAAACACGCACCTATAACTGATCAAGAATGACCTAACAAGTGCAGCCGTGCCCGGCTTCGAAATCAAGGTTCGACAGCAAGCCACGGCGACATGAGGAGAATGAAGAGATATATCGCAATATAAGGAACGAAGGGTTAGTGAATGAAAAAGTTTTGAGACTCTTGCTAGGGATAGTTGAGACGAAATGCCTGATAATTCGATAAAAGCTTCCAAAATCTCAAGGGGAAGTCGTGTGATCGGTGGTGACTCTCCTTCTAAATTCATGGGGGAAAATGAGGTGGCATCTGTGGGCCGTCGGAAGTTTCGAAGTATATAAATTCTCCGTCGAACAATGACCAGTGTGCCGTCTTTTGTAGCCAAATTGTGGGCCTCCAGTCAAGATCTAGCTTTAGAGGTGTATTCTCCGTCTTCACAGCCGAGAGGGCCACGAGGCGGAGGTGTGGAGGCTGGCAGGCAGATCTCCGTTCCAGGTCCGGCGGTGGTCGATACGCAGCCTGTTGAATACGGCGAATAGATTAAAAGCCAGAGTAATTCAGAAAAATAAACACGCGCAGAGGCAGTGCAAAGGAGCACTAAGTCTCGAGAAAGAAACTGATTGGTATAGATGATGAAGAGATAGGAAAAAGCGGGAAGGACGACACTGTTTCCTCAAAACATTTTCCAACCGTAATAACACAATAAGGCTTTCCCCACGAGTGTCACAGCTACTCTCTCTCGCCCCTCGTCACGCCACCGCGTTCTTGACAGGTTTCCATGCCAGTAGCCCGAGGGAAGTTAATCTCTATTGTTCTCCTAGAAGTGACTAATCAGGGACCCCCGCACTGCTCCCACAGCTCATTGGGTAGTTTGAGTCAACCAGAGAGTCTTTTAATAAATACAGCGCAAGAAACGAGAAGATGGTGGTGTGAAGTCAGGTTTGAGTTGAATGTCAGGAACATTTTCGTGCATAAACTTGTACAATTTCAAACATCACCAAACAAAAATACCCCTATTTCTTTACTATCTTTCAACATTCACAGAGATTATCCATCACAAGCACATGCATTCCAACAAAGGCCGTTAGTTTGCGTTTCTACGGTAGTTTTACCTTGGAACAAAAGCAATGCTCTATTTGAAACGCGCTACGGCACTCGCACTCACGGTCCTGAGACCATATCCTCATCATTCTCGCTTTCCTATTCTTCAAAACACGTCTCGAAACGCAACGTCGTCATCTCATTGCACAAACGCTATGGGAAAATATCTTCCACTGAAACCGCGGCGCAGCGAACCTCACTCATTACGGAACGCTGGACATTTCGGAAATGTAATGTTATGACAACAAATGTCGAAATCGAGATCTCACTCTTCCCAGTCAGGACACAGGGCAAGAAAGGGAAATCCGGATTTGTATCGTCCCGTTTGTTGTCAAAATGAAGTCAGGGAAACATAGCGGATAAATGTAGCGAGATTGATCGGGCCAATTTTCTTTGTCACATTTAAGCGCTCGATTTAGAGTGGCGTAGAAGTACTAGTGGGCTGTGTTAGCCTTGAGCGGAACCCACGATCATGTACGGCGCTATCACTGATTTCCTACGTCATTTGCTTTCAAATTCACATTTTATCTACTTGATGTACCTGAAAAAAGAGTCAATCATAAGATGTCAAGGCACTAAACAACCGTCGTTGCCGCTAGGAGACGCCGCCCACATGGACTCAAACTGGCGTACCGTCGGGCTCCCTAAAAGGTTCCCGCCTAACCATAGACTCCGGATCCGTCTCCTCGAGTCGCTTTGCTGTCGGAAAGGAAGCAAAGGTGTTACAAAATCGTCCGGTCAATTCAGTAACCCAAAAACGGCCTCGTATCCACGTGGACCATCCTTAGTACAGGGTCCAAGGAAACTGGAAAGAACGATAGAATTCTCACCCAATCCGAGTCCTGAGCACCGTATCATAGCAAATGGATATCCAACTAAAGGCAAATGAACTTCAATAAAGGAAACAAATCCTAATTAGGTGCTAACGACTACCTATGACGACTCTAACACACCAACCAACTGTACCAATCCAAGAAAAATACAAACTCGTTCACAATTTGAGCACCCCCTCACCACCACTCCCCCAACATCTCCACATCCTCTGCACAACCAACAACTTCTCCTCTCTTCCCAAACCAGGATCTTCCAAATCGCCCAAATCTTCCAAAAACGGCTCGCGGATTTTATTCGGTAGATATTGCAAGGCGTAAGACCTCACCCTCGTCAACGAGAGGATCAGCAGTCCCGTGGGTAGCGGCGCGAGCAACGAGGTGGGTGCAATGATGTCTCCAATCCCAGACCCGGTTTCTGCGCTGGGCGAAGGGGCAGCAGCATTCAAGAATGCAAGCGGTGGAGCGAGACTGGTAGCGGTGGTACTAGGCGAACGAATGAGTAGCCGCTCAATACGGCGCATGCCTTCCCAGACGGCCTTTCTCCGTTGCTTGCCTCCCCAACGACCGCGACCGCGACCACCGCTCCATAGCCGACCCAATATATTGAGACTGAGATAAACGACACCAAACGCTGGTGCCACGCCAACGAATGCGAAGGTGAGTTCTTGGGATTTGAGCAGGCGGTCGATGCCTGAGAGAGCTTGGTCGATGTCAACCTGGGGTTGAGGGTTAGTGTTGGTTATAGGGCAAGACTGTGTGGGCGAGTCGTAAGATTTAAAGCTCACCTTGGCCTTTTGCACCTGTAGAAGCACCGCGCGGATAAGTTCGCCTTTGACGGCAGAAATAAGAGGACGCTTCATGTCTTCTTCGTAGACTTCCATGATGGGAGTCAAGTCGCCTAGTCTCACTTGCACCGCAAGCTTGGCTAGTTGCTCCTGGGTATAATTCAACCTATCCCTAGCTAGAGACAGACTCATCCTCTCAAGACTCTAAAAATACACGAAAAGAAAAATAATTAGAACTTTTATTCGACGAAAAAACAGATGGAAACAAGAGAGATACCTCCAGATCAGCGGTAACACCTTCCTCCCTC